CCAAGGTTTCAGTGGGCTGCAGAGGGTGTGGGGTTTGAGAGTTTTTAAGATAAAAGGAGGTTTTATTGAATTAACAGAAATTCAGTGCTCAAAGCACTGAGTAGACCCACCCTTTTTTTTTTTTTTTTTGTGAGACTGTAATACAGCCAATATAGCATTTAGTGTATTGGATATGAAATCATAAACAAAAGTTTATTAAATGCTGTTATGAGTTTCATATATTTCATGATGTTCAGGAGCATCTACACTAACAAGAAGAAATCATATATCTGTAGACCTATTACTCTAAGGTAAATGGAACGACAGTGTAATTGTTTTCTTCAAGCCAGGTTCTGCAGGCCTGCAGCAGACACGACAGCTTTGTTCTTGTTGGTATTTGTTATTCTGCACCTTGGAGTAAATATATTTGTTTCCAGTGGGCAGTGAGAATCTGAGATGATGATACCTAAATAACTTGAATGTTACTGGAGAACTTGAAGGGAGTGAACGGTCTGTGGAATTGTATCATTCTTTTCTTGTATTGTCATTATTTCCCTTCCCTACTGCTAGTGCTGTCTGTGGGTTTGCTATCCATGGCCTCTTCCTTGCACAGGTACTTACAAGAGTGAGAATGTTCTTGTGAGAGATTATTCAAAACTACTGAGGACAGTCAGTGTGTGTGCCTTGAGAGTAACAGTGGCTGGACATGGAAGCCCATGGTCAGACAGACTGACATGAATCCCAGGGCCTTGCATCAGCTACTCCTGCTCTGCCTACCTCTGAAGGTCCACAGATGATTAACAGGAAAAGAAGGGACACAAACACGAGTTATTCAAGCTCTGGTCCTTGAGTCTCACTTCCCCTATAAAAAGAGGTTTGTTTCCTAGGGAATGGCTTCCTTCTGCCTAGGACTGTTTAGAATTCAATGTATTAAAGATTTCATATATTCAGAGGCACAGGGATTGGGGATATATAAAATACCTCAGGTAGGCAGGAAGAGGAGGGCATGGCAGGGAAAGTATCTTTACAGTTTTTCTGCCCCAGGCTTCATGCTCAGCCAGACTTCAGCTTGTTCTTGGTTAATGTCATGTAACTTGGGTAAGAATATTTTTGTTGATTAGTTCAGCTCTGCAGGAAGACTGGATATGTTTTATGCTTTTTTTTCTGAAGTTAAATTGATTGGGTGGAATTGCTCCCTGGATGTATTGTAGGTTAAAACAGCCATTTTTTATCCTTACGCCTGCATGTGGGCATTTCAGGCATGAACTGCAGTGTTTCCATGGATTTTTAAAGTCTTCCATCGCATAGTTAGCAGCTTTTAGGGCTTTGATCTGATTTCGTAAGACAGAAGTGCTCCCTGTATTTGTGTTACAGCAAACGCTGTATTTTTGGTGGCGGCTGACTTTGAGAAACACACAGATGCTTTTTTGTAGTCCAGGAGACAAAGAAACAAAGCTTTGTGCTGGGAGGCAGGATCCGTGCCTCCAGGGGACATCAAGGCACTTGGTGTGCAGCTGCCTTCCCAAGCTCCCTGTTCTCCTGGTGAGCAGGAGCTGGGTCGCTGCTCTCCACAAATGCTGCCGTTCTCCTTGGGAGGGATTTTCACGTTTCCTTTCTCACTGCTTGTGAGCAGAAGCATTTCGATCCCCTGCGCATCAGTGCTGAAGGACAGGTTGTTTTTTGGCTTGCTGTGCTCCAGATGCACTGAAGGGCATATGAGGAGGAGCCTGGTTGGAATACAGGACCACTCTTCTGCCTGCTTGGGCTCACTGACTCTTGAAATAGGATCATCTGTGTATGTTTCTGAGTGCATGTGCCTTAACACAAAAAAAAAAAAGAAAAGAAAAAAGAATTGCTGTGTTTTCCAAACATGCAAAATAAGTTCAGTAGGAGGCTTGAAGGAGGGGATCTGGAAGTGGCTGTCTGTCATGTTGCATTAATAGAATTGATGCTGCAAAGCCACTGCTTGGGAATCGGGAGAAGGTCCCTGTGGAGCTGGTTCTCTCGGCCCTCTGCAGACCCACGGCTCTCCCTGTGCCTGTAGTGCTGACAGCACAGCCTCTCCAGCCCCGTGTCACTTATCCCAGTCATTAACCAGGTCTCTTTCTGCTGCAAACGCAAACACAGATCTCGCTAGTAAAACAGAAGCTGTTGAAATGATTTTGGCTGCTAAAGTGGGCTCCTGCCATCCCGCGCACAGCAGCAGTTGTTGTACTGTTTGGGTTTGCTGTCATCTCTAATACTCGGAGGGGAGTGTTAATGCAGTCCCTCACCCTGCTGCAATTTGGGCTGTCCTTTCTCCTCCTATTTACTGGCTGCTGGCTGAGCAGTAAAATGAGACAAAAAGGTGATTGTCTATTCTTCAGTCAGCTCCTTCAAGGTTAGTGTAAAAATGCTGTTTCCTAGCTTTTTTTGGTTTAAACACTTACAAACTTGTTTGTAAACAGTAGCAAAATTATGTGTGTGTGCTTTATCATTTTCAAGTGGTGGCCTTGCTGCTGGCAGGTGAGCCACTTGCATTTATTAGGAACTGGGTACAAAACTATTAGACAATTCTGTTGCTGTCAAGCCTCATACATGCATTTTGTTAAACTCCTGGGGAAGGCAGGATGGGGGTTGCTGCATCTAGTTCTTAAAGCAGGATCTTCAGAGCAGCAATTGAAATTTTTATGTTGGCTTCCACTGTATTTATGGAGATAACAAAATGGTGAAGACCAGCATAGAGACCATAGGGGAAAGCAGGGATGAAATGAACAGTGTAAAAAAATTGTGCTCCTGCATTTGGAAGTTGTTCCTCTGCTTTAAAAAAAAATAATAAAATACTCAGTCCTTTTTTCTTTGTTTCTTGTGTTTCAACAGGGCAGAGTTTAGGGTATGGATTCGTTAACTATATTGATCCAAAGGATGCAGAGAAAGCCATTAACACTTTAAATGGACTTAGACTCCAGACCAAAACCATAAAGGTAAGACTATACAAAATGCCTTTTGCTCAATTCAGGAAGCTGGAGAAAGTACTTGAAATAGTTTCTGGCAATTTTGTCACTATTTTATTCTCCATTTTAAGGGGGTTAAGGGGCTTCTCCTTGGAACAATGAGAGGACATGTAGAAGATGAAATCCCTTTTGTCCAAAATTGCTGCTATTGTTAAAGGGAGGGGAAGGTAACAGGAAGCTCTTCAGGGCATGGCAGTGAGGCTTAAATATAGGGTAAAACAGCCAGAGTGATGCTGTTATCCATAAACAGCTGAAGTACATGATGGTGTATTCGTAAGTTACATATTTTTTATGTTTTATTGGGAAATACCTTGACATGGAGCTCTCTTTTAGTGATGCTCCTGTCACTACCAGGTGTTGAAAATACATTTCTCTCAAGTTAGAATATGTCATTCTCAAAAAAGAATTTTTTTTCTCAATTTCCACATCCTTAGTTTGATTTATCCTTTTAGAAGCTGGAGGCTTCCCACTGAAGTCTCTTATTTCATTGTTGTAATAGACCATTAGTTATTCAATGACCTTCTTTAGTGGTCTCACAAGAAAAGCAAGTGCTACACTGTCACGGGTTTTGCTGCATGGCTGATAAAGCTGTTCTGAAATAGCTTACGAAAGATTTTCACATCCCAAATTCTGACAAATAGTACAGCTTAAGGGATGTGAATCAGAAAGTTGAAGGGGAACAAACAGCAGATCAGATTCAAATTACCTGAAACTGCTTTGATCATATTTGAATGATGGCTTCTGATTTGCACCATTTTCTTAATATTTCTTCTGTACTTAATTTGTATTTCAAAGCCAAAAATGTTTAATATAAAAATATAATTTTTACTTTAGTGAGTATTGGTACCAAGTACTGTCATATCTTGCAGAAAAGATCCTGTGTGGTCAACACTTCAGTTGTACATACCCTTTGTCGCTGAAGGTTTTCGTTTGGACAGAGTGGTACTCACTAAAGCAAAAATATTTGTTGGATTCCTGTGTATCCCTAAGGATTGTTTCAAACAAGATTTTCCCTGGTCTGTTTGAAGAGCAGAAGTCCTGGGCTGAAGGTTACAAAGTGGTGGAGTAGCTGCACGGATTACATAGAGAAGGATACTTCCACACCTCCCTCAGACCATCCAGGTTCCATCCCACAGAGCTGTGTATTTGGGCCATATATCAAAATGCTCACAGCATGGTTTTGTTGAGTTAAATAGCAAAACTTGTAGGAATATGTAAGGCAAGGCAGCAAAATCTACTACCTTATCAACTGCTACAGGTAGAAATTCATGCTTGGGCTCAGCAGTTTCTGCTTACAGTGAGAAGTTGAGTAAGTTGCTCTCCAGATTGCTTGTAAAGGCACATTATCAGGAAAAAATGTATTTTGAAAATACTTTATTAAAAACTCACTAGAAACAGAAAATTCTAGATCAGTTTTTAATGCAGCACATGTATACTTTGAATATTATTCAGCCTTGGCAGAGGTGCTACATTTCTTGCCCTAAGTACCTATGTTGCTTTGTTCTTCTTTATTTTGTGAACCAGAGCAATGCTCTTGCATTCATAGTATTCTGAGGTTACAGGAAACACAAACTAGAAAAAGGTCTCCAGAAACTCCAACCCACGCCAATAATTAGACATGCAAAATTAAACAATTATGCCTTCTTTTTTTATCATCTGTAGTAAGGTTTTTGTTATCCAGGAATTTCCCATACTAAAACTTCTTTTTTTCAATTCAGTATAAATTTTAGAAATGCAGTGGTTTATTTGGTTTGGGTTTTTCATGTTTATTAATAACTAGTATAATTTTATAGAATACATGACATTTTGTTAGTCTCTTGAAAGCTGTTAAAATTTGATAATAAGTAGAGATTAACCTAACCTACGTGCACAGGAGCTGCATAAATTCTTCAGTGATTGGGAAGTTATATGTAGGCTTTTTTAATAAAATTGGTTTTATGGAGTTGCCTAAAACCAACCCATGGGACCATTCTATTCGAGTAGCCAAGTTTTGGCCACAAGGACTTCTAATCAGCAGTTTTCAACCCAATTTTCCATTGCAGAATTGCATGTGATTACCTCACCTTACCTCCTTGGTTTTTTGTATTTTTAGTTATGCTTTGCTTTCAGAAATCCTGGTAAATTAGATCTGCTTCCCTGGTACTGTGCAGTGGGGATGGAGATTTCCCAATGTTCACACTGAGTGGTAAATCATGACTGTTTACCACCACCAGCAGCACCCGTGTCACTGGAGACATCCCTGTTTCCGAAGGGTTGTGAGGCGATGAGAGACCGTACTTGGCACCACTGAAGCCTCCTTGCTTGCCTTTTGCCCCACATGCTGCTTTCCAGCATCTCACTGTCGTTCATTACAAGGTTGAAGTGTTTTAACTGGTGGAATTACTATATTTAATTATCAGACGTGATCACTTTAGCTGTAGATGCCCTTTGCAGTTACTAAAAATGTGCTGTTGGTGTGTTAAAAAAGCCACTGTCGAAAGAACATCTAGGAAAGGACTCGATGGCATACACTTTTGTAGGCTGAAAAATATTTAATCCTAGAATAACATTGTGCTGGAAAAGTACTGAGCATTACTTTATTCTGCTTTCTTCGTGAGTGTGGTTGGGTTCTATGCCCCAGAATGAATCTGTAAATGTCCTATTGATGGATGGGCTGAACTTTGGCCTCTGCCCATGTGCACTGGGTAGCTGCAGCCCTGCAGGTAGCACGTCTATGGCTGCCTTTTGGAAGCTGTTTTGATGGAAAGAAAGTTGAAACGAATCATCTATGAAAGCTCTTTTGCAGTGGCAAATTACTCCTGCTTGCCAAGGTCACTCTGGTCCTGCTGGCTGTATCCATCTCCTTGCTCAAACAGTCTTGGGCTCTGCTGTTCCTTGCACCTAGTCTGAACATGAGCTGGCTCTGGGGGGTTGTATTTGCACTCTTTTTTTTGACCCCACAAGGCTTAATTCCTGTTTAAGAATAATATATATTTTCTGCATGTGTCCCCAAATGCTGTCCTTTTCACTTCTGTAACATTTTTGTGGCAGCTTAATGTTCTCTCTCTCTTGATGCCTTGCAAAACAGCCGTGCAGTCACAGGAGGAACTGGCTTTATAGCAGGATCAGCAGAAGAGCCAGGCACAGTCGGCTCTGATGTGTGGACTAAAATAACTGGAGAAATGTTCTTTTTATTCTTTCATTGTTACGATAAATAATCCCTTTTCACTGTAGCAGCTAAAATATTTATGTGCATTTTATTTAAGTCAATGATGCCTTTTCAAGTCAAAGTTGAGAGGTGACGATTTACAGAATATCAGGGGAAAGCATTGGAGAAAGTGTTACGTGTTTGGTGGTAATAGGTTATACACGTTATGTTCCTCCTCAGCTGATCATAGAGCATATTTTATTTACACCATTTCACAGCAGCATCATCCTCTTGCGAGGGAGAAAGGCTTCACTTTATTTTTACAGCTAAAGCTTGTCATAATTCTACAAAACAGCTTAGAATGAGGGAAGATACAGTGTGTGTTGAAATAAATATATATTGCAGAAATTGAATCTATTTTTAGAAATTAAATTTGCCCATCCATAAAAGCATATGAAAGGTCACTGCTGCTGTTGAAGATTGCCTGGCAATTCAGTTGCATCAAATATCAGAAGGAAAATAAGATGTGTGATGCATGGGGTACAGATTGTTTAAACTGCTGCTTTGCCCTGAAAAAAAGGACAACGTCTGAAAGGATGTGAAGGAAGTGTTTTACAATTTACTTGGGTATTCAGGTGACCTGGCTTCATTGGAACAAGGGCAGAAGAGTTTTGAAAGGAAGTTTGAAATCTAAAAAGAGCCAGTGACCCCCTGAAGTGCTGTCTTGTGCCCCCTCTCCTTCCTTTTCTCTGTTGCCTGAGAAATAGGTTTTCTTCTTCCTTCCTTCGCAGGAGCAGGTACACACTGTGACACTGCTGAAGCAAAGGGAGATGTCTCCAGTAAGGAGAGAAGGAATCTGAGTTCTCTTAGCCCTTGGTAACGTCCAGTTTTTAAGTCCATCAGATCTATCAGATGATAAAGTACCAAAAAGATAAGATCATTCCTCTGTGGTCAGAGGTTTCTGGTAGTTACTTTAATTTTCAGTTAAATGAATAAATAACACGCAGTTTTATATTTCTGCTTTACTCTCCTGTTTTCATCGATAGGTCTGGATAGTCCTTGTTTAAAGTAAAGTGAATAAGGCAGTGGGAGAAAGTAATCCTGTGTTTTCTGAAAATACAGTAATAATGTTACTGCTCAAAGATCTGCCTATTTGTCTTGGTTTCTCTGGCATTTTTCAAAATGCCAGCTATTTCTGCCAAGCTCAGGCTCTAAATCTGTCCATGTTAATTCTTGTAATTGTCCGTAAAACTACAAACCATCCTGTCACTGTAGGGTAACCAAATAACAGCAGCCTCAGACTTCTCCATCCTACAAAGTCATTTGTCAAAAAGATTGCCTTCCAGCCGTGCTCAGCGGAGAAGGAGGTGCAGGAAGCACAAGGCAGGGGAGAAGGAAGCTGCAGCAGTGAGCAATGGGGAAGAGAGCTGTGTCTTCTCCACCCCATCCCAAGCTGTTTGGAATGGGGTGCAACAATTTGAGTTGCAGCCAAAAAGTGCTGGATTGCTGATATGGTAGCAAAGCTCTGGTGCTGGGTGCCCTCAGTGCAGCACTCTGCCAGTTTTCCAACTGTACTCTTCCATAGCCTTCCCAGGGGCCACCTGCCACTGAGCCAGCTGGACACTACCTGCAGCCTCTTCTCGCAGTGAAAAGATGGAATGTTGTGCAACGCCAGGTGGTAAGGAGAAGGGTGTACAGAGAGATCTGGGGAAGGTGTAGAGGGGTCTTAGATGCTCTGTGAGGAAGAGGAGGTGGAAGGCAGGGGGAGTAGAAGACACTGGGAGTAGCTGAGCATGTTGGACTGTGGCAAGGAGGGATTTGTATTTCCAGGTGTCTTGTGCAG